CGGAAGGATAATGGATTGACGTTTCGTCTTGGACATATATTTTTGTCAATTTTCTTTGTTAATTCCTTACATCCCTTATATTGACCCTTATATCTCCCTAGTCGTTGGCAAACAACCGCAGTCATAACACGGCGCAGGGAGGGAAATACAGAGTATTTCATAATCAATCAGTATTCCATAATCCATGTTATCCATAAGTATTTCAGAGGAAGATTTAGATTCGTAACCCTATCAACATTATTTTTAAAAAATATTCTTATCTTGCAATTGCAAAAAATGTTCATGTATATGTACTATTCGAAATATAATACTCTTTTGGATGTGATGCAATAAATATGCGACAATTGTTTTGAATAAATTCAGTAAAATTACAAAAATGTTGGGGGCATAGAACCTGTACCCTTTCTAAATTCACTATTCCTACGGAGTCCATCAGAAATTGCTACCTTCATAGACTACTGACCAAATACTCACCATTTGTGACTGGGAGTGAATAGTATGTTTAGTCTCAGTACAGGGTTGACAGGATTCTTGTAACATGGTTAGAGGAGGGTCAAATTCGAAAACAAAACGAAAACAATTTGTACTTATGTATTTTCAACAATACTGATGTGGAAGAATTGAAGTATCAAAAGAATACATTTCTAAATCGTATCACAACGGTAAAGTATACACAACAAAATACACATTCAAGAAAATGCTTAATCTATACAATTCGTGATATAGAATTTGATTTTCTTTTAAATCTTGGGTAATCCATTGGGCTTCATTAATTTTTATGAAGAAGCTGAAATGAGAAATAAAAAGTTAAAACATGTGTTAGATTTATATATCCAGTACACATACACACATTCATACACTGAGGATGTTCACAAAGGCTCTCCATCCCCCAAAACTTAAACATTTCCACGAAAATTAATGTCAAAAGAAGTTTGAAAAATTTGAAATACACTGCAATTTTACTCATATTGACAGAGTTCGAAATTATATAGGAGAACATTGCAGATTGGGGGAGACAAGAGGGAATTGAAAGATAGAATTTGTAAATGGCAATTATATAAAATGTATACAGTTTGAAGAACTTGTCGAAGCAAGCCTCTATAATTTCAGCCACAATATTGTCGCTTACAATTTATAAATGTACATTATAATTCACACGCTTTGCATTGCCTTCCACCAGCGTAGTCTCGTATATATTACTCAGTCCTGTAATAATGATTTATTCAATTATTCATTCCAGTCATATATCTCGGCTGAGGCAACGCTGGTCATACTTTTAGGTTTGTTCTTACCATCAAACCGATGGCCGGTCAGTAGTGCCGTAGCGATCTCGGACCAGAAGACCGTGTGTTCGAGTCCCGTCCCGGGTATGAGTGTATTTGTGTATGTCTATAAGTGTGTACTGTCTTTTCAACCCTCACTATCATCATCATCATCTCACCGTCCATACACCCAAGGGCTAACAACTTTGGGCGATCAAAATCGGGATTCAGCTAAAATCCTGATCCCCCCCAGAAAGGCACTTGCTAAAGCAGGAGGCGCGCGTGGTCCAAGTTAGCCTATACGCGAAACAAAATCAGACCGACGCTTCGACAAGCGTTCATCCCCGGTCCATCCAAGAATTTGGCGCACCTCTGACGTCCCCACATCTGTCCAACCCATTGCCCTGCCAACGACGCCTCGCTGACTGCGCAGAACCCTTCAAAAGACAACGAGCGCACTGCAACACTTCTTGGAAGTGCTCATAGTGATGTCACTATGGTGTCGTTCAAACTCCAGATTGGATGAAACCGTCAACGTCTGATACCTACCAGGAGCAGAATTGCATATATCGCAGTATAATTCATTTCCACCGAGTAGTTTATACTGCTGACAATGTTCGTGTGTCTTAATCGTATGCTCATGAGTGCACGTTCAACCACAATGGCATCACGTCATCGTTAAGCGTTATCAAGCAATAAATCAAGATATCATTTGTAATACTGTTAATGAATCAGTTACTAATTCTCAATTTTTAAAAGATCAAGATGAAGGCAGAATCTTATTTGTTTTCTAGAGAGCTATTATTCAGCACTGATTACTTTGATCCATTTTATTTAATTTCAAGTAGTGATTAATCTTTTATTAAATATTGTTGTTTCATTACTTATGAATTCATGTTAAGAACAGAATTCATTTAATTTATGTTAAGAACAGAATTCATTTAATTTATGTCATCTGAATTCATGCTACTATTAATTCATTGCTTCAGTAGTTTCTGTCTGTGAATTCATGTCAAGAACAAATATTAACATGCTACTGCATGAATTGAATGTTCAGATCAATATTAATTGATATATGTTACCTAACTTTGAACAATTACTCATCTGTTAATTCAATAACTGTTGATTAGTATCTAATTACAATATTCAATTAATTGCGTAACAGTCAATTATTTTTAATTATAATTAAGTTAAAGGCGAATTTCTTGTGTTCTGAATCTCCTTTCACGGCAATCCCAAGCTAATTTAGGGTAGGTAATTTTTTAATTTTTTTTAAAATTTAAGGTCGCATCAACATCTAGTTTATTATCGATCACTACAGATTAACGGTATGGCTAACAGTATGATGTGATATGGTGATGGCGAGGGGTGAAAGGACGAATACAAATACAACCATCCCTGAGGCGGGACTCAAACCCGCGATCCTTCAGTCTTAGATCGCTACGACACTACTGCCTTAACGATCTCGGTCGACAGGGTAGGTAATTTAGGCAGGTTTTTGGAGGGCCTCAACAATCAACTGGTCCTTCGAGAAAAAAAAAAGTTAATAAAGTAATTAGTGAAAAGCTATCAAAGTAAGTGATGTGAATGAAATCTCTCAGGTAACAAGCAGTCTACTTCTCTATTTGACTGCCTCACTCCACCAGAACTAAAAGTACAATATCCTTATATATCATTATTGAAACTAAAAATGGGATTGCATGTGCTTTAGCCTTCGCTGGGCTAGGTAGTGACCTTTGCTTTATTTTGTGGGAGTAGGAGCTCGGGCGCGAGTCCCACGAGCTTTGATTCAGCCCCCCGCCCCCCATGGTGGCTAACCGCGCCGAGACATTACCTATTAATACTTAGAAGTAATACCTTAATTAGTGTCTGTTGGCCGAGAGAGCCTATGTAATGATTTTAGCGAAATTAACGATTTCTTGAATAGTCACTGGCGAAAATATCTGACTTATTGCCTAAATAAAATAAAATTGACAATAGTATTATTGCAAATAACTTTCAAAGCTCATTTTAAAATACACGTATTAATGGTAGCATCAAAAGCAATTCATCTGTATGGCCACATATTAAAAATAATGATAAAACATATTATTTTCTTTCTTTCCGCTGGCGCTGTAGTCCAGTTTGAGTTTTGACACAAAGTCTGCAAAACCTGCTACTAAGTCTTTCGCAGTATGAGATTCAATCTTTCATACGAATGTTACATCTGACTGTAACATAACATCGTGAAATCATCGTGAAATTAATATTACAGACAATGCTACTGTATAATATGTTGTTGTAAAATATAGAATTTTTTCCCCAGACATTTGTAAAATAATCAAAATCATAGAAGCTTGGAGTGATGTGTGTCTAGTACGTCTAAAATAGGAAGGTTAACATCTAAATTACATTCGCCATTGCAGAGGATCAAAAGTGGTATAGTGCTAAGTAGTTAAGAGCTACCACGATGTGAAAACACGGCCGCGACATCGATGTCGTGTTAGAGATTTAGCACTTCTTTTAAATTATCTTTACCTTTTTTATGTAATATCATAATTGTTTTAGGCCCTTAGAGAGCAATGTGCTAGATGACCGTTTAATAAAAGTTTGTGAAAACCCTTTGAAAGTCAGAAATGTCGACCGTTATTATTATTAAAGTTATTCAATAGTAATAATAAAAAATCTCTCGCCTTTGCAGACAAACCTCAAACGGAGAACATCGCCTTCTGTGCTCTTGGGAACCGCGCGAAATCCATTTCATTCGTATGAAGAAATATGTATTGATTTGCAATCAGGTTAAATAATTTGGCCTAATAAAATTTTATATTCTACTGTGGTGAATAATAATATTTTAAGGTATTGCTCGAATTAATGGGGTGCCATGCTCTGATGATCCTTATCGCGAGTTGCCTTTGATTGAAAACCAATGTAAAAGATGAAGTACATACCTGGTTATTGAAAGCATATTATGAATGCAGAAAAGAAGGAAAAATAATATTGTTGTAACTTACACAGACATGCTATAAATAGGGAAATTTGCAAGTAAGTAAAATTAAATGTGTTACACAATTTTGCATTAGTACCTCAGATAGTTATTTTGTAGTTTTATATTATAGATGAATAATGAATAAAAATGATTTCAGAGAAAATACTGCACTAAAACTAATACCAAGTCTTAGCATTAGTGTATACATATAGTGGAAGATTTAAAGATATTAAAAGATCTAAGTTCTAAGGATCAATTAATTATGAAATGATAAAAATGCAAATACATATGAACTCCAAATAAAAGATCTGAAAGAAGTGTAATATAGCCAGAGAGCATTAAAATAAATTGGTAAAGGTGGCCAAATAATCAAATGCAGACATATAATTGAGTAATAAAAAAACCAAGCTCCCAAATCAGAGAATTATGATTGCTTTTTGTAACCAAAGGATTTGGTATGAAAGAAGTGGAGAATGAACAATGTTACTTACAATTTATCATTACTCCTAAGTGAATACGTATTGCTTAAAATATCCCCAAAAACTTCATGAACACTACACCACAATATTTTTTCCCTCCCTTTCTTGTGTAAGAAATGTATAGTTGTGATAAAAACCGCTAAAGAGTGATTAATTTCAAGAAAATGTTTCCTAAATTACACAACTCAGTCAGTCTTCTACTATTATGAATGACTGGGTTGTTTTTAAGAAAATAAATGGATTTACCGAAAGTATCATTAGCAAGTCAGTTAGTGTAATTAAGATGCAGGTACTTCTGGTGCAGCAGGAGTGTCAGTAGCAGCAGGGGTTTCAGGCACAGCAGGAGCATCGCTAGCAGCAGGTGCTGCTGCAACTTCAGCAGGTGGGGGTGCAGCAGCAGCATCAGTAGGTGCAGGCATGGGGATTTCAGAATTTGGAGGAGAGGCACCTTCTGCGGCTGGTGGAGCCGCTTCTGCAGGAGGAGCAGCTTCAGCGGTTGGAGCAGGAGCACCTTCAGCAGGTGGTGCTGCTGTTGGAGATGCTCCTTCAGCAGGTGCCCCTTCAGCAGGTGGTGCTGCTGGAGATGCTCCTTCAGCAGGTGGAGCTGCTGCAGCGGGTGCCCCTTCAGCAGGTGGGGCTGCCGCAGGGGATGCCCCTTCAGCTGGTGGTGCACCCTCGGCAGGTGGTGCTGCTGTAGCAGGTGCTCCTTCAGCTGTTGCTGTTGCAGGTGATGCTCCTTCAACTGGGGGAGCACCCTCAGCAGGCGGTGCAGCTGCCGGAGGTGCTCCTTCAGCAGGAGGGGCTCCTTCAGCAGGTGGTGCTCCTGCAGGTGGCGCACCTTCAGCTGGCGGTGCTCCTTCAGCAGGCGGTGGCCCCGCAGGCGGTGCACCTTCAGCAGGCGGTGCACCTTCAGCGGGCGGTGCACCTTCTGCAGGGGGTGCTCCTTCAGCAGGCGGTACACCTTCTGCAGGGGGTGCTCCTTCTGCAGGGGGTGCTCCTTCAGCAGGGGGTGCTCCTTCAGCAGGAGGTGCTCCTTCAGCAGGAGGTGCTCCTTCAGCAGGAGGTGCTCCTTCAGCAGGGGGTGCTCCTTCAGCAGGGGGTGCTCCTTCAGCAGGGGGTGCTCCTTCAGCAGGTGGTGCACCTTCTCCTTCAGCGGGTGGTGCACCTTCTGCAGGAGCAGCTTCTCCTTCCTCTTCTTTTCCCTGAATAGAGAGATTTATTGAATTTATCTACAATAGTGATTTTATTTCACCAAATAATATAAAAATTAAATAACTGATAGTAATTAAAGCATGTAAACAAAAGTAGGAAACATCATATGCCAACAATAATTTAAGTATGACAATATGAAGGGTCAGTGAACCAACTATGTCCCTGTGCCTAATACCACCTACACGTGTTTCCAAGGTACCATGCATTCCATGTATGGTTTCTTATGTGAAACTTATAGTTCTGGTGTATAGTTGCGCTAAAACCGCATACACCATAACTATACGTTTCACATAAGAAACCATATATGGAGAGCATGGCATCTTGGAAATAAGAGTTTGGGATATTAGAGACAGGGGTGATAATTTGTACACTGACCCTACATAACCATTTGAAGATATTCAGTCGTCACTAATTGTAGGTATCACTTAAAACTAAATTAAATGACATTCGTAAGTGGATTTCATGATTGACAGCTAGAAAAATGTTTTCAGTAATGTGCCATGTAATGATATGATGTGCAGGGCTGTTTTAACAGCATTGGGGGCCCTTGGGCCTAGGTTAATTTGAGAACACCCTATTCTTACTTTCACCGCCCCCCCCCATTTTGATGCTGAAATGCAAAGAAACGCATATCATGTCACATTGTATTTTGTGAAAATATCTTCAAAGTGTTTAAATTTAACACTATTCAAGAAAAAGTTTAAACATACAGTATATGTATAAATAAGTAAGAATAACATTACTAGATTGAAAAAACTATGCATTATAGTGTTAATTGTTTATTGAATTGTACAACATAAAATTGAATTGCATCAACCTGCAACATTCCATATTATAAATATTATCCAATGATGTGCTACATATCATTCCTACATACATATCATATGCTAATTTTGCGTATAGTTTAATCGTACATCATTTTTATATATTTTTAATTTTTTTTGAAAATGTATTTTTTAAGAACTATCGGAGGCTATTGAACATGGGGGGCCATGCGTAAACACAGCACTAGTAATGTGTCTTCAGAAATTTATTTAATTATTTATTTATTAAATAAATTTCTAGTGTTTATACGTCTAGTGTTTTTATTCTCCTTCTTTCATCCATTCTCAAGCCGTAGTTAGAAACTCACATCTTGTAAGACATGTGTTACATGGTAAATTAATAAGAGTAGGAAGATCTTAACTCTCCAAATGTTGGAGATTTATCCTGTATTAATCCTGTTCATCGAAGTTACTAAACCTCTTTCACGTCATGTGAGCACATCTCTCTTTTGTTATGGGTCTATGTTTAGGGGGTCTCTGAGCGACAGCCTGTTAGGGCGGCAACCTTACCTTGAGTAGGCATGTCCGCTTCTCGTACGGTGATACGAGCGGGCGGCACTTAGGGTCCCAACCCCACAGTTCATGTGTTAAGGCGGGTAAACATTGTACAGTTTTCGCGCAGATTGGACGTACAGAAAACGGACAGCACACTCTGCGCGATTTCGAAATTAAATCTTTTGAGTGTTCGCAATTTTTCATGCAGTAAGTTTGTAGCTTGACTCAATCTCTTATAGTGGCAGAATTAGTCCCTAACCTTATTCCTATCCTTATTCCTTCCCCATTGTGGCAGCTGGGCAGTGACGTAGAAGCGCGTAAGAGAGGCGCGTACGCGGAGATGCTATCTGGCTGTCCTCTTGACAACCGACTGAGACGAGACGTGACGGACTATGTAATTAATGGAAGATAACTCCCGCGCAGCAATTAATGGAGGATAACCCCAAAAACGCGAAGCGCTCAACGCCCCCAAGGAATTTGAGACCTAAGAGGAACCACCCCGTCAACCAGGCCATTAAGGTATCGGCAAAAGAGGGCCAAACCTATGCCGAAATAATTTTAAAAAATGCAGACTGTGGTAGACCGGAAGGATCACGGTAACGGAATCTTTAAAATCCGCAGGATACAAAAGAAGGAAATAGGTGTTCGTGCTAGACAAAGATAACGATAGAGCCCCACTTAAGGAGGCCGTAGCCAAGGCAGTAGGCGAACAAGCTGAAGTTATACGTAATACCCTGATTCCAAAAGAAAGGTAGAAATACTGGACATAGATGAGACAATAGAGGAAGACGAAGTTGTGAATGTGGTCGTATTGGGGCACAGACGGCACAGGTAGAGGAAACACTGCAGACTGCGGTAAGAATACGGGAATGTGCAAGCGGCGACAATGTTACTGCCCGCGGAACTAGCACAAAAACGTTTGGAAATAAAAAAAACTCCAAAACTCGGGTGGGTAAGATTGTAGAGAAAAAGAAATAGATGGGCCGAATCAGAGAGAAAAAGCTGACAACACTAAAATGCTTCAGAGGTCTTGATTTTGGCCATATCTCAACCAGGTGAAAGGGTCCGGATAGAAGTAATGTGTGATATACGTGCGGCGAAGTGGAGCCCTTAGCTAAGGAGTGAACAGGTAAAGTTCAGTACATCGTCTGTAAAGAGAAGAATAGGCTAGAACAAGCCAGACACGATCACTGGCTGCGACGTAAGGGATGTGCGTCCTTTATGGCTGATATAGATAAGATGCTGGTATAGATAGTAATCGAAAATAATGAAGTAAGAGCTTCCCTCCGCCTGCCCCTCCACGAAAGTAATGTTTAATGACGGTTTCCATGGAGGGGCGGCCCATGTCTCAAGGAAAGGAGGTTAGGTTTTAGTCAGTAGATCAGTTAGCGAATGCCGAATGGTGAATGCCGAATATGGCGGCGAAAAGTGCTCCCAAACAAAATCGATAATCGGAATGATCATATGAAAGCGAATGAAAAATGCCGTAATTTAAAAAAAAGTCTCGCCAGTAAAATAAGTAATAATTCAATTCAATCTATTGCAGAGACACAACGATATTTTTTCATGTTTTATTTTATCTCAGATTCTATTGCATGTATCAGGCTGAAAAAATTACAGTGCCGGGGGAAAATAGTTGAATTTGAAGGTATTTTTATCAACTAATTTTGACGCCAAATTCAAATAGAAGAAATATAAAAAAATTTAAAATAATTTTCGAAATGATAACGTTGAAGTACTGTTTTTTTCCTGAAAATGTATCTTATAACATTCTATAACATATTTTTTCAGATTTTTAAACAATGTGGACAATTGTAAAAAAAATTGAAAGCCGTTTATATCATATTTAAAAATTGAAATATATCCTTTGAATAAATGTACTTACAAGTATTGATAGTCACTGCAAAACACAACCTGAGAGGACGTTGGAGAAGTTTGAAGGAGATACAATTGGATGGTATTGGTTGTCTGGTGATAGAAGTTTTCTTGGACTGCATACATTTTCGTTCTTAACGGACGTTCTGACCGGGCACAAGAAGCTGCCTATCGTTCGGTCACTTACAAAAAGAAACCCTGGACTGCGCGAAAAGTGGTGGAGGGGAAGGTTCTCTCTCTTAGTCTTAACTTCATCGTCGCCATTGATGCCGAAAATCGATTGGCGGCAAATGTCTGTCTGTGAGTCTGTCCGTTCGTCTGTGCACAGCACTAGCGCATAAACCGTTCAACCTATTTTCTCCAAACTTCATATTCACTTAGTTTTCTAGCTAATATCGCGGACCCTGGAATTTAAAAACAAAATTTTAATTTTAGGGGGTACTTTATATGAAGCCCCTGGGACACTTTCAAAAATTTCAAAGAAATGGACCAAATTTGTTGATTAAATTTTGTTGATGAATAGTTCAAAGGACGCTTAAGAGAATGGTACAGATTTCATTTTCTTTGAAATCCCTGATTTTATGAAAACTGTAAAAATAAATTAAAATATCAAAATTGGAGATCAAGATTTTTGTCTCAGACAAAGTCTATTGTACAAAATTAGCTCTTCAAAAAAGGTCATGTAAAATGTTTTGAAAAACTGAGTAGTTTTTGAGTGTTTTGCGATTAAAATTTACATTTTTTAAAAACCGCTGCAATTTTTTTTATTCTTCACTTTTGTAATAAGGAACGGTAATAAATACGGCGCTAGTCTCATTTTTGGGTATTGCTCTTTTTTTTTCGAAAATTGCCAAAAGCATTTCAAAACTACAAAATTGAAGATAAGAGAGTTTTGCCTCAAAGTCTGTTGTACATAAGCACTTTAAAAAAGGTCATACACAAGTTTTTTTAATACAGTACTTTTTGCGTAATTTGTGCTTGAAATTAATGCGGGGTTTTATATTTAGCAAGGTTTCACACGAACTACGGGCTACGAGAGAAATTGAATGATATGAAAAATAATGAATTTCATTTATTTATAAATTCCTATTCAAAATGACAATATTAATTCTATTTTTTCTTTTGTCGCTTTATTACTTTTCACTCAATGTGTATTCTCAATGTATTAATATATTTTTCTGCAAAGCTTAATAGAAAATGTATAACAATCCGCAAGGATTGAGAAGCTCTTCATTAGCACTTGTTTTGTTTATGTCATCTGTTCCCGAGAACCCATGGACGCTCTCTTTGTTGAAAAGCAAGTATTTATCGTATCATAAGTGTGAATGTTAGAGGTCAGTAATGAAATGAAACGCTGACGGAACTGTTATCTTACGACGAAAGGCTCTAACAAATGTTCGTAATTATTTTGATGTCAATTGCATGAATTCTAATTACTGTATTGATATTATTAGCCAGCGAATGCACATAGTTTTGATAACGCTCCGCTGGCAACAGTGTGTTGCTCAGTTCTTGGTTGAATTGGACGTTTTGAAATAATTGCTGAGGCGTTAGAAACGCAGAAAATGCAATATTTCAATATTACGTAACTGATTCTGATAACGCAAGAAAGTATGTGCTGTTGTAGCTCCACAAGTTTCTAAGTGGTCGAGAAATAGAATACTTCTGGGATGGTTGATACGCTACAATCCTCGTGAAGAACAGGCACACTTTCGCTGTTTTACT